CTGCAAGCTTTCATCAACGTCTGCCTCGAAATCATGGCTCCGTCATTTGTCACTCATACTACAGCGATCTACTCTTCGTTTGTTCTCATCCGCTTCCTCTTGTTTGCTATTCAAACTGTTTGTCATAAGATGAAACAGCGTTTGAGCCAGATTGGAAAATGCATACCCAAGCAGAACGCCGGATCTCAGGAGAAAAGAAGCGGCGAGCTTCCCAGTCCATTCCAAAATTTCGATTACAAATGACCGTATCAGCGTGGGTTTCTATTTCGAAAGCCAAACACTTTGTTTTGTATTTCCAAATATGAAAAATACACACACGCCGTTCTTTCTTTCGCGGATCAGCCGGCTGTGTGTTGTTCAGTTGTACAAGTGTCTTCGTGGGAAGGCACCTTTCTGTCAGCTCTGGTGGGCGAAATGCGGATCAATGTGCTGGAGGGACTCGTTTTGTGTAAGCCTCTTTCATGTCAACCATCTACTAAAGTCTGTGCAACCTTGTCGATCTTTTGTCGCTCCTTTGCTCACATTCTTGCATCACAGGGGTTGGCATCGAAGCAGTTCACCGGATTTCAAGCGAATTCTCACGCATTTCGCCAGCACAGGGCGCCAAGATGCCCCCTGTTAGATTCGACACTCCTTGCGACTTGGCTTGGTTCGTTTGGATCCAACATGTTTGATTATTCGTAGTGACGGTCTCTTCGACTTATCCATGATGCTAGATGCAACTTCTTGGTCAGAAAGGAAAGGGCTGGCCCCAACTTTGCTGCTAGTTCCAGCATGACTAGTTTGGTTTGCAGCATCGATGGTGAGCGTCTCTGGTGGAAGTGCTTTCTGAATCCGTCAATGTACGGCGCCAAGATCCTGATCATCCTCCAATGGCAAACTCAACGCTTATCCGAACGATCAAATACGAAAGCTAAGATCGTTCAAGTTCCGTGTGTCTCGCATCCATCTGCGAAGAGTGAAATTGACTGGAATGAAGAAGGTCACGCAAGAGAGCACGAGATCTCGTTAGGGTTTTGACGTGGGCCATCTACTTTGCTGATGAGCAACTTCATTTGACAACATTGAGGTTGGTGTCAAGTGGGCATGTCCGGTCCGCCTTGTATGGTTTTTAGGACCGCCGGAAACCCGACTGAGCTTTTCCCACGCCCACCGATACTTGTACTTTTCTTCCCACTCTTCTCGCTTTCCATCACAACGTCGGATCGATGCTCGACACCTCCATGTTGTTCTCGTAGCACGTATTGGCATTAAAGCCAAAGATAGACCCGATGGCGGAAGTAGGCCAGTCGGCAGAATGGCTGGCAAAGCTGTGCAATGGAACGATCGCTGCTACTCCTCAAAACGCCGACGAACTCATAGAAGCTGGTCTCTTGCTACCCTCATACCATACACACGACGTAAGTCTAGCATCGCCTGATCGAGAGTTCAATTCTTCGGCAAGAGAACTAACACGCTTATCTAACATCTTCTGCACGCCTGTAGGCATTCTCAAACAACATCGCCATCATCGCTGCTACTCTATACTGCTGGGAATACATCATGTACGTTTTACACGGTCGTACAGGCCTGCGTTCGGAACGAAGGGTTGATACTGACGTTTCTATCTTCTGGAACGGTTTGGGCCTTCCACCAGGACCGTGCCATCTGAAATACGGATCTACTTTACCATCCCATGGCGTGCACCTCACCTCGTCCTCTTTGTGCTGATGCGATACACAACAGCGATTGCTATCGGCATCGGGCTCTACTCTACATGGCATCGTCAAAACGGTAACTGTATCGCCTTCTGCGAAGTAGCTACGCTCCTCGTCCAGCTCTCTGTCTCTTCGGTGCTCGGATGGCGTACCATCGCCATCTGGCAGAAAGATGCTCGGATCATCGTCATAATCTTTCTCCTCCTCAGTACGCTTATGGTCTTTTCCTCTCTCCTGGTGCTCAGCATGAAAGCACAGAGGCTACCCAATGGAATTTGCGTTCTCGTTCAAGGCGGCAACTACGACTTCTTCCCTCTAGCATGGTTCTACGCCGGTACCGTATTGTACGACTCCATCGTCATCGTACTCAGCACCTACCGCCTTTGGCAGCACCACAACGATGTCGGTGTGTTTCCAGGCGCCAACCTGGACGACACGAGTAAAGGCGACATCACCTGGGCAGAATGGGTCCATTCCCAGTGGAACAGCATCACCCCTCTCCTCTTTCGTATGACGTCCAACGGAGTTCTGTACCTGGCTTTCTCGACCGTCTTCAACGTGGTCTGCTTCATCATTGGCCACTGGAGCGAGGATCGCGCCCAGGATCTCATGGTGCTCTATTCGTCGGTCATGTGGGTCGTTTGTCAGCATCTTGTTCTGCTGGAAATCAAGGCAACGTGGGGAGATCGTCTCGCCAACGATGGGCTCAAGGACGCAGCCAACGATGAAACCGATCGCTTGATCTCGCAGATCCTGCAGGCGTCATGGTCGTTCAAACCATCGCCGGCCAACACTAAAGGTCCAGAAACAACGGCAGAGACCAAAGATCCGGAGATTGTGCTAAGCTTGTCGATTGACAGCTGTCTCAAAGCTGCCCCGAAATCGTGCTGCGGAGGCGGTTGCAGTGGCCCTCAACCTCGACGTTCGCAAACACTCGGCGTGAGTGATGCAAGACGACCATCTCTCAAGAATCTCAACGAAGGATTTGGCGAGTCGAGCGTTCAGCAGCTGCACGATTTCCGACCTTCAGTGCCAGGTGAGAGCTTTGATGGATTCGGAGCGAGATCGATCACCAACTCTGATCGGGCAGAGACAGCGGACACCAATGCATCGACCAGTGTCTTGATCTCCCGCCACAATGACATCTATGCCGAAGACAAGAGAGGCGCAGGAGGCATACGTCAGCGTCTTGGAGCGCTCTGCAATCCCAATAGCTCGAACAAGATTCTCGCCAATCTCACAAAGACTTCTCGTGGCGATGCTACTACCGACACATGCTTACCTACCGTTGAAATCGATCACCCTTTAAAGGACGCCCCGACAGCAACCCTCCAGCAGCCCAGTCACCGAGATTCAACATCCTCGCGTTTTCGACGAATCTCACAGGCACTGGAGAGAGTACCCCGAATGTCGACCAACCTCGCAACCTCTACACCTGCCACTTCTCCTCTCCCACCAGCCACCCCAGCTGCAGACGCATGCCCGTGCTGTTGCAGCTGCGAAGACCGAGACCTCAACCCAGCCGAAGCAGCAGTATCAGTAGGGAGGAAAGAAGACTCAAAGCAGCGAATCCGCAAATCCGCAAGCGCAGGAGACATCATCTCTACACTGGAGGTTGCAGATATGCTGGCAAACATGTCGGACGACGCAAAGACTCAGGCACTCGCCTTGGCCGGCATGGAAGGTGTTGGCGGCGGCGGCCCCGTGCAAGTGGGCCCTTCGTTCAGTCCTACTAGGGCTGAATCCAAGAGACCGACCTGGATCATTCACCCGCCTCTGTAGATGTATGGTGGTTCGTAATAGATTATCCTGATGGTCAAATGTATGTACAGTACAGTACGTGTCCAAAAGTGTGTGAACGACGTGTAGAAAATCACTCAACCGGCCGACAAGGCCTCTTCTTCGAGGCTTCGTCTTTCATCAATCATACTATGTTACCTCGGCCGATACACACACTGTTTGATTTGTCAGAAGCCCGGCTAAACGACTGTGAAGGCCTTTCGGCCGTGAATCAGTATTTGAGCGGACCACCTCGCTTAGTAAGCAAGTGTCGTACTCGCTCCTCCATTGACTCGACACATGCATTGACATAATCCATTGGTATGTCGTTCCAGGCCTGTTCCACAGCCTCTGCGAGCTCTTCCCGGGTCCGAGGCAATGGAGAGCGCTTACTAAGCCGGTTTTTCATCAATGCCCACATATTTTCTATAGGATTTAAATCAGGAGAGGATGGAGGATGATCATGAGACCGTATGCCGTAGCGGTTACGACGTTCCTTCGTTATGTTTGCCCAATGTATCCTGGAACCATCCTCTACGACCTCCAGTTCAATTCCTGCAAGCGCCGCTTGCTCAACTGTTTCTTTTAGTGGGCCATCAACAACGAAATCGCAGTACTTTTTTGCTGTCAAAGTTTCAGCCGGATCCCACTTGTTTTCGTTCGGCCTCTTTGTGCGAGGAGCCAATGGAATAACGAATAGCCGGGTCTTAAGGTTGTATCCGATGCCGGCCCACACATGCACGGAGAAACGGCCGCTCCGGAAAGTCGGTACCATGTGTTCCTGATGGTTCCTGGTTCCTGGACGCCGTGATACCCACGTGCGTCCCGGACGTTCGCCAAGTTTGACAGTCGACTCGTCGGTGAATAGAATAAGCTTCCAGTTCGTTGATTGGTTGGCGAGGGCCCAATTTAACCGTTTAACCTTGTTTCTAGCTGTCAAAAAAGGTTTCTTGAGGGCGATCCGGCGATTAATACCGGCCCGGTACGCCGTCCGCCGCAGTACCTGCAGCGGGATGCCGCCCAACACCGCTGACAGCTGTCGCCAACTTAGAAAAGGGTTTTTTAAGGTTTCCCGGGTCAAGTATCGTCGATGCCGAGCTGTCCACTTTGGCGGGCGGCCGGATCGTGCAGCGGAAGCATGGTGACCGCGCTGTTGGAAGTTTCGGACTGTATTGTAAACCGTAGTCTTGGAGCAGCCAATGAATCCGGCAATTTGGTTATATGACAAACCAAGACCCCGCAATACGGTAATTTGAGCTCGTTGGTCAGTTGACAGCTCCTTTCTGCGCTCCATGACAGGTTATTAAGGTTTCTTGCATATGGTGATGGTAGTAGTATTGGTCGTCGACGACGACCACTACTTGACACGTGATCACCGGATAATTGGAATTTAATTCAACGTTCACACACTTTTGGACACGTACTGTACAGTACTGTACTCTGAAGTGTGTGTAAGAATCGCACAAAAGCCAGCGCAGCTCTCACTTTTTTTCTTCCAAAAATTTAAATCAAGAAAAAAAAAACTTCCCGGCCGGGGAATCGAACCCCGATCTTAGCTGCTCACTTGACGATCACGCAAGATCATGAAAAAGCCATATACTAGACCATTGTACTAACTGGGAGTTGTGGTGGCTGAGGAGACGTTACAATATATGAATAGCACCTACGCCATCGCAGCCTCTTACTAACATCTCTCTTCATCCATTCGCAGACACTAGCGCTTCAAAGTCCAAGGCTTGGCACCAAACAACATTGGCATTCTCATGCCATCTGATTTGTTCGATATCGTCTTACAAACGACATCCCGAGCTTGGCTTTTGTGTCGTCGACCTGTTTGCATAGCCGGTACTGAACGCTGGTCTGCAAAGCTGACCTTTGCGTACACCAAGGCATACTTCCGACCCAGACTTCGCACTGATAGGCAACGTTACTGTTTCTCCTTAAACATCACGTTTCCGTTCAATTGCTGCGTCATCGTTGCCAATCCTTCCTTGTACTATACCGTCGATAACAATTGATTACTCTGCTCATTTCATCTAGACTTGGTTACGAACTTGGTTTTTCTCGCACATCTTGCTCTGCACTGCCTGTACTAAGCGTACCACCACAACATCGCACCGCCCGTACGAATTGTACTTCTCGCACTACTTGTACTGCGTGTACTTCTCGGACTGCATGTACCGTCTGCACTTTCCGCACCTCCCACACAAACTGAATCACCCGCATCGCTCGCACCACATCGTCGTTGACGGGAATCTGGCAATGAATTTCTTTCATTCCGGCAAAACATGTCAGGCTTCGAGAGGAGCACCGCAAACATGCGCATGGCGACTGCTCTTCGAGCCATCAGCTCCCTCGATACGCAATCTGCTGCAGAAATCATGCACAACCAAGTCAAGTTTGATCTGTTCTGCAAGTGGCTCGACTATAGCCACATCGCTCAGCATCCACAGCAAGGAATGGCCTTTGGGGGTCCTGGAGCATTTACAGCTGCTGGTTTGGCAATCAATCATGCGGAAGCGACCAAACCCCACCTCGTCAACCCACACAGCAGGGGAGCGATATCGTGCTCCAATGCCACCCCTCAAGCGAAGCGGAATCCAGTCCCACGACGTCTGGAACTTGCCTTCGCATCTACACTCCATCGCTCTCATACTCACACCTTCTCTCCGACCTGCCCACAGTGTTTCCTGGCGTTCGATGACAAACCTGATAACCCTTGAGAAAACAAGAGTACAACGCACCAGACAATCACGAAGCCACATGACGATGCACTTGCGTTGGCCGGTGAGCACTACGGCGGAGTCTGCAAAGCACAAGCACAAGCACAAGCACAGACAATGGCAAGATAGCGTAACGACCGGGTGTATTAAAGGGAAAAAAGCGGAGCATGATAAAGCGACTACCTCTACTGAGATGCAACGTTAGCTAGAAAACGGTGCATCTAGGAGGTGGAGCCCGATCTTGGCCATAAAGAGACACGACGAGAGCATAGAGAGCTAACGGAGCGAGGGGGTGAAGCGATCGAGACTTGGGAGAGCGAGGGGAACAAAGGGAAGCTAGGTGGTGGGACCGTGATGTGGAATGCTATTTTCAGTCGCACGGGTTCCAAAACGACTGAAAAGATGGGGAAGAAAGAGATTGTTCAGGTGCTGCTGCTGCTAGATAGGTGAGAGAGTGAAAGAAACGAGTGTAGTAGGCGAAAGAGAGTGCTTTGAAAGAAAACAGGGCAATGACCAAGAGGTGTTTTTTCCTCGTGCCGAACGAGAAAGAGACCCTTTCCAAAAGAGTGTGGAGGTGTTCAGCGACATCCCGTGTCGACAGAACCAACGATGCCAGTCGTATGAGAAGAAAATGCCAGATTGAGATGCAAAGGGAACCGAAACCTCTAAGATTAAACCCGATGACAGGTCAAACTTAGTTGATTGGGATCGAAGTGCATCCAATGTTGACAAGACCGTCCTGGACAACGTTGGTACAGCAGACTGGCGAAGCCTTGCAGATCGACTGGAGCGAAATACCAAGAATGGGGATCTGCTGGCAGTTGAGACCAATGTCACCGGCGATCGAGTTGAAGCCAAGCAGACCGGCGAGGGTCTTTTTCTTGCCTTCGTCGTGGATCACCTGGCTACAGCACTGGGCGGAACCAACCGAGCATTGACCGTTGTTGTTGTGCTCCGAGGCCTCGCGGGGACGGGGACGTTGACCACGGCCATCGAGAGAAGGGGTACGCTTGGCCATGGCCTCGTCCTCCTCAGCAGCCCATCGCTTGGCAAGGCTCTTGAGCAGGTCCTTGTTACCAACGGGAACAGAGATACCGCTCATAGCCTGACCGAGGAAGGCGGAAGGGTCGAGACCACCGTCACGCTTGGAAGGGGTGAGGTGTTCGGCGGAACCGGTAAGGGCATCGACGTGGTGGGTGGCATCGCCGGTGTTAGTCTTGTCCAAAGCCTGTTGCAAAGCGTCAATCGCGTACTGGAGCGTCTCGTACTGCTTTACATCCATCGCTCGGCGGGCGTGCGCGCTGTTGACAATATCGGAGAGAGCGGAAAGGGTGGCTTGAGCAGGTGCAACTTGGTTGACGGTATCGGTCTCTTTGGTCTCACCTCGTCGAGTCTTTTGTCCGCTAACCACCTTCGAAAGGGCGGATGCGACCAGCTGCACGGGAACTACCTGGTTGTCGTTGTCCACGGCACTGTCGCGCTTGCTGGCGGCCTGGCCGTTGGCGACCTGAGAGAGGGCGGCAAGAGTGGCTTGGATGGGGATGACCTGGTTGTCGTTGTCAACAGCAAGCGAACGCTCGGCCTTCTGCGAGTTGAGGACGCTGGAAAGAGCGGCGGCGGTAGCCTGGATGGGGAGAACCTGGTTAGTGTTCTCAACAATGTTGTTTCCCTCGGCCTCCCAGTGACGCTTGGAGCCAGCCTTCTGAAGGTTGGCGACCTGGGAGAGCAAAGCGGCGGTGGCCTGGACGGGGAGGACCTGGTTGGTGTTCTCAACAACCGAGTCGAATTCGGGGGCCTTGCGCGAGGCGATCTGGCCGTTGGTCACCTGGGAAAGGAGAGCGGCGGTGCCCTGGATAGGAACGACCTGGTTGGTGTTGTCAACCACGTGGTTGAACTCGGGGGCCTTGCGCGAGGCGATCTGGCTGTTCTCAACCTGGGAGAGGATAGCAGCAGTAGCCTGGATGGGGAGAACCTGGTTGGTGTTCTTGACAACGTTGTTGCCCTCGTGCTCCCAGTGGCGCTTGGAAGCAGTCTGGCCGTTGGCAACGCTGGAAAGAGCAGCGAGGGTGGCCTGGATAGGAACGACCTGGTTGGTGTTGTCAACAACGTTGTTGCCCGAGTGCCAGTCCTCGTCTTCCTTGTCATCATCCCAGTGGCGCTTGGCACCGGCCGACTGGAGGTTGGCGACCTGCGAGAGGAGAGCAGCGGTCAGCTGGATGGGGAGGACCTGGTTGGAGTTCTCGACAACGTTGTTACCCTCTTCATCCCAGTGGCGCTTTGCACCAGCAGACTGGAGGTTGGCGACCTGCGAGAGGAGGGCAGCGGTAGCCTGGATAGGGAGAACCTGGTTGGTGTTCTCAACGACCGAGTCGAACTCGGGAGCGTTGCGCTTGTGGGCGGCCTGGCTGTTGGCAACAGCCGAGAGAGCAGCGAGGGTAGCCTCGATGGGGATGAACTGAGCATCGTTGTCAACGTCGACGGATCGCTCGGCCTTCTGGATGTTGGCTACCTGGGAGAGGGCGGCAATGGTGGCCTGAATAGGGAGAACCTGGTTGGTGTTCTTGACAACAGAGTTGCCCTCCTTGACCCAGCGCTTGCCAGCCTTCTGCGAGTTGAGGACCTGCGAGAGGAGGGCGGCGGTGGCCTGGATGGGGACGAACTGAGCGCTGTTCTTGACGTCAACGCTACGCTTGGACTTCTGAGCGTTGGCGACGGCAGAGAGAGCGGCGAGGGTGGCCTCGATGGGGATGATCTGGTTGTCGTTCTTGACAACGTTGTCGCGCTTGGCGGCCTTCTGCTCGTTGACGACCTGCGAGAGAGCGGCGATGGTGGCCTCGATGGGGAGGGTCTGCGACGAGTTGTCGACGTCGGTGGAGCGCTTGGAAGCCTTCTGCTCGTTCAAGACGGCAGAGAGAGCAGCGATGGTGCCCTGGATGGGGACAAACTGGGCGCTGTTGTCAACCTTGACGGAGCGCTCGACAGCCTGGCCGTTGCCGACCTGGGACAAGAGGGCACCGGTGAGTTGGACGGGAACAACCTGGTTGGAGTTGTCGACGACCGAGCCGGCAAGGACGGGGCCGGTGAAGGCAGAAACGGCTGCGACGGCAGCGAGGAACTGGAGGTACTTCATTGTTGTAGGAGTTGGCTTGGGTGTTGATTAGAGGGAAAGGGTTGGCAAAGAGTGTGTAAAGAGGTGCGTAGGGCGAGGGGTTGGTATCGAGTTTTGGTAAGGAAAAAGGGAGCAGCAAAAGGGAAAGGGGAGAGCAGCAGCAAGAACGGAGCACGAGAGGGAGGAGGAAACTAGCTTGGGGGATAAAGACTGGAGATGGTCAAGAAGGGCAACCTTATATATGGCAGAGAAGGGAAGCGATCCGACACGCGAGATAACTGGAACGGACGAAGCGCCTGGTGTGTCGGCAAAAGGCGAGTCTTGGCTTTGTGTTGGGAAGGGCTGGACGAAAGTGAATCAAAACATTGCAGGCACGATGAGTGAGCGTGTTGACGATGCGAATGGAAACACAGAGGAGCTTGTTTTGGATAGGGAGCATGTGCGAGAGAATGAGCAACAAGTTTGAGGCGCTCGCCGCATTCGCTTAGAGGAGCCGACGTTGAATGAGGTTTCTCGCAGGCATGTTTGCGGCGGGAAGGAACCCTAAGCAAGGACGGGAGCGAGGAGGCGCGGGAAAGGATGCAAGTAGAGCAGTGGGATGGGATGCTGTCATCTTGGGAGAGAAAGGACGTGCAAAAGATTCCAAGGGCAGCAGGCGGGTGCATTGCGGAAAAGGTGACAGCCGACGAGGCGCAGGGGAAGAGGAGGAGGAGGAGGGGACAAGAGGAACGCAGACATGTATCAGCGCTAGGGTCAATGAGTATGCATGCACGTCAAGGGCATCCATCGG